GAAGTCATGGAGAAAGGGGATCTTTGTATTTAGTTATTGTTGTAAAAACAGTAATGGTAATGGGAAAGGAAGTGATAAGTCAAATGTAAAACAATGTAGCTCACAGGCTGCAGGAGCGTTCCCCTGCTCCAGCCCAACGCTGCAAAATGCAGCCATTTTACGTCACTATAGCAACAAGAGGAAAAGATTGTGTGAAAGGAGAAGAGAGAGAAAAATGAGCAGAGAGGGAAAAACACTGTGTAGGTTTCAATTGATTGTTATATGAACTGGCTAACCGGTTTTGCTGCGATTCTTTGATTTCCACAGTTGTAATGATATTCCTATCAGCAGTAAACACTCCAAACCTCAATCTTCTATTATTGCTACTCAATTCAGAGATGGAGTGACTGACTGGCAGGTGGTGTGTGTATATGTCTGTATTTGTTTCCTCTGACACAGTCCATCTTATCCGGAGAGTCATTTGACCTTGTTAGCCATCAACCAGCTACTGAATGAAATTTTCCACTGAGCAAACGCGCTCCACAACGCAGATTGAAAAACTGAAAATCGAATGTGAAGGAATGAGATTTCTAACCAACAAATGCTTTGATACGTGAACAAGGCTATTAAGTTGTGTTGCAGGTGTCATGGCTTCACTTTACGTGATCATTTCTGCCCTTGTATCCATGGTTTCTTTCTTCTTTTTCCCTTATTTTTGATAGGAACATGATAATCTGGGACACCTCAAATCATTTGCCAGGTCAAGCTGCAGTGGAGGACACAAACAACTTCCTTGTAAGTCGCACCATCAACTGCTGGACCAACATTCTTGCATTCAGTAGGATTTAATCATGTGCTAGGACCAACTCAGACTCTTTTGTTGCCTTTGTTGTTTTTAAAGTAGATGACAGTTAACTGGTAGAGATACGTTTTCCTCTATGCATCCCAGTAGAGAAAAATCCATGCTATAATGGCGGTCAAAAATAGACACAATTGCGAATATGCCTCGAGTGAAATGAGAGGGAGAAGATGTGATTAGACACAGTGAGTATTTCTTATCCTCGCAATACAGCTGAATGAAACAGCAGGCTATTAAAGAAAAGATTCATTTCCCTGCATCTGGCCATAACAAGGTGGGCTGGTACTGAAGGATTGTGACTTTTAATTGGTTACCAAGCAACATGAAAAGAAATGTGGGCAGCTAAACTTGTCATCATGAGCACAATAGGGCTTGGAGATACAGTAGGCTTAAGCTGATTTATTATGAGAAGTGACAATGTACTGTAGGTGGCAAAGAATAATGTTCTTTAGTCTTTCTGCACCAAATAAAACTGTCTTGCAACAACAGCACAGTCTACTTGTGTACAAGTACATGTGCATACATATGCATCAAAGTGCATTGGTTAAGACAAGAGCATGTTAACGTAGCCTCCATGTTGTCACCCACCGGATTATGAACTCATATTCTGAATCCTCAGTTTTAGCATTGAGTCCAGAAGAGAAGATATTTGAGAATATCAACAAATATTTAAGTAACATCTGACTAAAACACACAAGTTCTTTGTTCATGCGTGTTTCTTTGCCCGAAAACTCCTCTTGGACCAGCAGGAGCTAATAGTTCTTATCTAATTCAAATATTATGACATAGTCATGTTGCCTAGCTACCACCTAGCACCAGACTAAGATAATAGATCATAAGGTGGTATGTATGAGGTATATTTTCCGCATTTACACACCTATTACACTTTATAAAAGTATCCTATCATTTTAACTTCATAAAAATCAAATCAAATCTATATCTACTATCTAGGTTGAATTATGCATGATATATTAGCAACATGCTAAAATGACCCCCCCAAACAGATTTTTTGCACAGTTCTTTAGCACAGTTAGTTAAATGCTAGTATTTGTAGCTATATTAAAATCACACCAGAAAGCACCGGCAGTACAAGGTTCATATAGGTGAGGTGATACCTAGCAGGAGAGCGATCATTTACACTTACAGTTAAACAGCTGTGTCCTGATAAGGGTATAACAGAAAAACTTGCCTCCTTATAAAGGTGACACAAAGGGGGATATTAGCTGTAAAACCACAGCTGCTTTTGTGCCATGCTGTCAACATTTTTATTTCTGCTTCGAATTAAGAAGTTTGATTTGGAAATCTGTGAGGATTTGCTCTTTTTTTTGGAGTGGGCCTCAGTTTGACTTTGGAGGAACTGCAAACACCGTAAAGCATGGAGAAGGAAAACTGTGAAAGAAAGAAACAAACAAAGAACATTTCTAAATTGCTTCTCTTTCCTAGCTATCACAAATATCCAAAGATCTTGCAAACTTGCAAAATTAAGCAGCTGGGACTAAAGAGTGTTTTGGATTATTGCTTGATCAATGGCTTAAACAATTACATGACTTAAGCGATTGATTGAGGCTTGTTTCTCTTTCAGCAAATTACTTCATCAGCTGATCATTCAGCCTTCCACTTTTCATTCATGTGCTCTTAAATCTGAAGGCCATGCATGCCCACAATCTACTGTGCTCTGCTCACAGAGCCTTGACCAGTGTGTTGTCATGCCAACGGCGTGACTATTCCCACTTTTGTGCGCTAGATGAGTGAGGTGCCGCGGCAGGGCCGTTGTAGCAACGGCTATATTTAGTCTCTCGTTAGGTAGCACAACGACCCAGACATTAATCAATACTTATTCATCTCCAGCAACACCGTAGAAGTTGGACAGACAAAGCAGGATAAACAGGAGAGGCAGCCGAGTATAATAAGGCACAAAGAGTAACGACACAGTGAAAGTGATGGTGGGTGAAGCAAGCAGTTGAATAGAGGGTGAGAAAGACAGGAGAGAAGAGGTATAAGCCTGATATTAGCCATACACTAATAAAGCATTCAACCAGTGTTATGAGCCTGCCCTCCATTATAAGCTCACAATAGAGTAATTCGTGAGCGTGAGATTCATTCACAGGCTCTCTGTGATGCTTAGAAGTCACACAATGCACATTTGCCTACAGTCCATTAAGTAGGGAAAAAGTAAATTTAAATGTCAAACCTAAAGTAGTTTTTAAGTGATTATATTTAAAATCT